GAGACAGATGAGAAAAGAATCATAAATGCAGCAATAGCTTCTGGATTTTGGATGTGGGTTTTTCAGAACTCTTTTCTGCTTTACTCCAGAGGAAAGAAAAACCCAGTACAGATCTTTGTGTGCATCCTTCCCTGGCTTTATTTTGTCTTATCTTTGGGAGACAATTGTAAGACTTCACTAGCTGAGGTCTAAGAGGAGCCACCTTCTAGAAGGTGAGACGTGACCACAGTCAAATGGGGATTTGAACATTAATTACAATACCCACAACGTAAGGGCACTTTCCCACTTCCCACCTGTAGTTCTCATTCCATTAATTCTGTCCTAGCCCTTCCTGCCTTGAGGGCTTTATTCTCAGGCAAATGCTGCTTTTTAAACTGTATATGCTTGGTTGTTTTAAGGCACATAAGTACATTAGCATACTGTAACCGGTTTGGAGGCAGGAGTGGCATCCACTTCCTAAACAACATGCCTCCAGAAACACTATGAACTTTGATGAATGTCGATAGTTGTAGAGGCACTTCAGCCTTTTGCTCATGGGGTCGCTATGAGTCATGCTCAACTCGAAGGCAATCAACAACATTAATACTTACCTGGTGTTATTGACCACTTAATATATATGTTGTTTGGCTGCAAGCTGAACCCCAGGGGTGTGTTTCCTTCCAGATGGGAAGGGCGTTGAGGGCCATGGTCCCGGGGGTGTCTGCCAGGCTCTGTAGGACCTTAGAGGAAGTCTGGCCTTTTTTGTGGTTTTGAGTTCTACATTTTTTTTTCCATAGGTGACTTTGTTCAGAAAGTAGATTGTCAGGTCTTTTTTCCAAAGCTCCCCTTGGTGAACTTGAACCTCCAACCTTTCAGTTGGTGGCCAAGAATGTTGACTGTATACCAATCAGAGGCTCCAACATGCAGGTAGCTATAGACTCTTAAGGAATGTTCTTCATTCTCCAGGACAGTGATTTCCATAGTGTAGTCTCCAAAAGCATACTTGGCAAGCTCTCCGCTTTATCTCAGACCCCAGAATCAGCCACTTGGGGGGCAGGACCCAAAAATCTATTCTAACAAGTCTTCTAGGTGATACTGACTGTTTCTGGCTCGAGAACCACTGTTGTAGGATTTGCTCTTGGCTGGGCTTGTGCAGTGAACTCTGACAACACAGAGCTCTAAATGAAGTTAGACTTGCAGCGTCCGAGGGACTGCTGGGCCTCGGAGGGAAATAGATGACCCCCGGCAGAGGGTGTAGCATGCATCTGAACACGGACACATACAGGACAGCGTGTTCATGCCGATGGCAGTGAGAGGTGGTGTTCGGGCTTGAACTAAAGGTTAACTCTGTGATCAAAGCTGGGGGCAGGGACTGAGGCAGTGGGTGGAGGGCCGCTCCTGTGGTTCTAAAGGTGGTGGTAGCTGAACTTGGTTCACATTGGCTCATTTGTATTTCCATGTTTTCTCCCTTGCTCTTTTAATTCACTTTTCTAACTCTAAGCCCAGACTGTGCACTGGCATTGTAAGAGATGCTGAAGACATGGAGATGCCCATGGCTTATCCACTTGAGAAATTAGTGTAAGAGACAGGCGAAGACTGAAACTGCTCATTCCTGTGCTATGATCACGCAGAACAGTGAGACAGCAGCACTATAGTTCTCAGAGCTGTCCGGGTCAGAGAAGGCTTCAGGAAGCATGGGGTGGCTTAAATCATGTGTACAAAACTCCAAACCAAGCTCACTGCTGTTGAGGTCAGTCCTGACGTGTAGGGACACCATCCACCCCTAATTGAGTTTCTGGGGACAGCATACCTGACAAAGGAATAGTTGTTTATATGTTAAAGAGTGTACTACATTTTCCACAAACAGGTAATTGGATATCATTAGAACCTTCTGGAAAGAGGCAAGAAGGAAGGCCAAGCTCAGGGAATAGAAAATGCTGTCAAGGATCTCTCTCCTGAGTGCTAAAGAGCAATGATGTCAGTTTAGAGACTAGGGTGCACTTGATACAGGCTATGGTCATCTCAATGCCTTGCTATGCATCAGAGAGCTGGCCAATGACTAAAGATGACTGAAGAAGAACCAATGCCTTTGAGTTGTGGTGCTGCAGGAGAGTATTGAACATACCATGGACTGTCAAGAGAACAAACAGGTCTGTCCTCGCTCCTTGGAAGCAAGGATTTTGAAGCTCCATCGTACATACTTTGGGTATGTTGCCAGGAGAGATCAGTCCTTGGAGAAGGACATCATGCTGCAAAGTTTGGAGGGTCAGCACGGAAAAGGAAGATCATGGATGAAATCGATCGACTGTGGCAATGGGGTTGGATGTGTCTGAGACCGTGAAACTGGCTCAGGATAGGGCAAAGTTCAGAGCCATTGTTCATAAGGTCATTATGAGTCATGGTTGACCTGATGGCATATAACAACATTATACCTAATGGGCGAGTGGGTTGCACTGCCAGCCCCAAGGAAGGTGGTTCAAATTGACTCAATGACAATGACAATGAGAGAGAATGTGTGAGACCAAAACCAAAAGCCGACTACTCAGGCCAGTCAGCTCACACTCCCTGGGACTCTGTAGGGCAGAGAAGAGCTCCAAAGGGTTTTCATGGCTGTAAATGTATATGGAATCATTACCTTACCTGTCCCCTACAGAGCACCTGGTGAGCTTGAACCGCTAACCTTTCGGTTAGTAGATGAGCAATCAGATTACCTCATCTGTCTCCTTCGGAGCACCTGGTGACCTCGAACCACTGACCTTTTGGTTAATAGCTGAACACTGGATCCACTCCCCCACTGTGGCTCCTGTGGTTCCAAATCCTCTGTGGGTTACAGAGTAAAAGTGAGCCCTATTCTAGCAAATATTCTTGGTTATAATACTAATGACTGCAGATTGCTGGGCCTCTCTCTCATAGCACCGCTGGGTAGACCCGAACCATCAACCTTTCAATTGGTTTTTGTTGTTGTCATGTGCTGTCGAGTCAGAACAGACTCCTAGCTGACCCTCCAGTAGGCTTTGAGAGGCTGTAAATCACACGAGAACAGACTGCCCGTCCTTCTCCCTCAGAAAAGCTAGTGGACTTGAACTACCTGCCTGAGATGGGCAGCACCACTCTTTACCTAGGAGGCCTCCAGGGCTTTGATTACTACTTGGACTTAAAGCAATGGTGTCGCCCAGGGACTTCCTTCCAAACCTATAAGCATTTTATATCTCCATTATTTAACGTTCACAAGCAACCCAGTTATCTTATGAGATACCAAAGAAAACCAAAAATGTCTGGGCTTCATCTCAGGGATTTGAACAGCCTTTGAAGTATTGAAAAGAAAACGAAAATATTTTGGCACAATAATCTGACTTATGTTGGTTCTCACTTTATCCTGCACATGAGAGGTGGCCTGAGGAACTTATTAGAGCCCCACTTTAGAATTCTAGGCTGGATTCTAGGGCTGGGATGCTGAAGAACGTTTGGAAAGTTTCATGAACAGACTTAATCATGAACTGTCTTACTGCTATTAAGAGACAGGGCCTCATGCACTGAAAGGAGGATCATGATAGCAAGTCCCTCACAGGGTGGAAGAAAATGTGAAACAAAACTCAAGATCCTAAGATTGTAATTGATGATCATAGATTCAGATAGGACTCTTAGTGACTCTATAAAGGACAGATCTGAACCCTGTCCTCTCCTCTGCCATCGTCATCATTTCTGACATCCTCGAGCCCATTGCACCCGTGTCTGTGTCAGTCTAGCACACTGAGGCTCTTCCTCTCTTTCACGGATGCCCCACCTTTCCAAGCATGATACCCTTTTCCAAGGAATAGCCTCTCCTAGCAACATGCAAAAGAGAGGAAGACCCTCAACCAGGTGGACTGACAGTGACTGCCACAACGGGCTCCTGTGTGTCAGGACATGTGAGGATGGTGCAGGATAGAGCAGGGTTCAGATCTTTTGTTCATAGGGTCTCTATGAGTTGTACTGGACTCAACGGCACCTAACCACAACAACAAGAAGAAGCAACATACCCGAAGTATGTGAGATGAAGCCCTGTCATCTTTGCAGACCAGGCTTACTGGTCTGAGAGAGGCTGATGGAACCCCCAAGACTGTGGCCCTCTATCACTCTTCAAATCTGTGTTTGAAATCCCTCTCATTTAATTTCCAGCCAAACCATAGACAGACCTGTAAGGTGGTCAATAACACCAGGAAGGAATGCAATGCTTGGGATAATTAGTCGTGTTGTTGTTTTGAGGTGTCCACAAGCCGATTACACCTCAAAGCGAGCCTTTGAACAACACACCTGAACTTTGCCCTACCCTGTGCCACCATCACGGTCTCCAGTGTCCTTGAACCCCTTGTCACAGTCACTGTGTCAGCTCAGCTTGTTGAAGGTCTTCCTCTCTTTCTCTGACCCTCCACCTTTCCCAGCGTGATGTCTTTTTCCAAGGACCAGCCCATCCTGAAAACATGCTCAAAGTCTGAGAGGAGTTTTACCGTCCTTGACTTTAAGGAGCGCTCTTGGGGGCAGTTCCTACAAGACACACTATCCAAAGGCATTGACTCTTTCATCTTCCTTATTTATTTCTTGCCCAACTTTCAGATACATATGAAACAGCTGGGAATACCGTGGTTTTGATCAGGCACACCTTAGTCTTTAAACTGACATCCTTATGCTTGAGCACTTTAAAGAGGTCTTTGACAGCAGATTTTCCCAATCAATCATGGAAGATAATACACGCAGCATTTCCTCGAGGAAACAACTCAGAAAGCAGAGAGGGAGGATTCATGGAAATAGAAAAAACAGGATGAAAGTAGAAAGGGTGCTGTTGCAATGTGGGGATTATAATCAGTCTCATGGAATATAATGTGTACGATTTGTTGAATAGAAAACCAATTTGCTTGCTAAACTTTCTCTCAAATGACAAAAAAAAATTTAAAATCAAGAATCTGGAGAGCTGAGTTTAAAGGGAGCAAAACCATATTTTAATTGCTTGACTTTGACCATGTCCTCTTGGTTTTTCCTTTTAGGTTTATCCGGATCACGGGTACGTAGCCCTTTGTTTCCCTCCTCCATGTATCTTCACTTTGTTTTTTGGTTTTTAATTTTTTTAAATTAATTTTAATGAACATTTACCGAGATTTTGGATCTCCATATATTCATTCTTGCATTTTTCTCCCTGCCCACTCCTCCTCCCAGTTCTCACTTCTCTTTGAAAAGTAAAAGAAAAATTATTTCACTGGTATAGAATCCCCCACCCCCACCCTGAGTACACTCCACTAGGCAACCTTCATTCTGGACCCTTGTGATAACCATAATACCCAAACATATATCGCTTTTAAACTGTTATCTTCCTCATCTGTTTCAATGCAGTAGTATACAAAATTTATCCAATTTTTCTCAGTCTCACCCCAACCCTGAAGTCAGTCCCTCCCATTCTATAATAGTGGCCATATCTTCACTTTGTAAATTCTACAATTCGTTTTGCCCCTAGATGGTCACAGCTCTGTTCCCTTAGCAATGATGTATCACTCTCCAGGCATCAGTGAGAGGGACAGCTGTGTGTCTGTATAGGACCTCTGTTTGGGAAATGCTGTGCACAGCCCTTCTCAGGCTGACAGACAAGATGCTTCATTTTATTGCTTTTACTCTGTAGAAAGATTTCTATAAGAATATGAAACTCTTCACATTCTAAATGCGACCTGTGAGTGGTTACAGACAATTTCTCGGATTCGCATCATCTGAGTTTGTACTAGTTTGTGAAGGAGAACCATGAGGAGTGTACCCCAGTCTCTCCCTTTGTTTCACCAGGGTTGCTTTGGCTATCCATTGAGCATCTTCTTCATCATCATCAATGAGTTCTGTGAAAGATTCTCCTACTATGGAATGAAAGGTAACCACTCAGTATGCCTCCCCTCTTGGTGAGGAGCCCACGTTCCCTTAACCACTTCTGACTTTGTGTCTCTCTCCCTTCTGCTCCACCTTCCCTCTGGGTAAAGCCATCCTGATTCTGTACTTCACACGTTTCATTGGATGGGATAACAATCTGTCCACTGTCATCTACCACACCTTTGTAGCTCTGTGCTACCTGACACCGATTCTCGGAGCACTCATCGCCGACTCCTGGCTGGGGAAGTTCAAGTGAGTACTTGAAATGCCCTTGTTATCAAGCAAGTCAGGAATAACGATAAGCCTTGTGGTTTGGAATGGGAAACCCAGAGAGTGAAGACTCAAGGACTACAGATGCCTGGGAGAACATTCTAGACCTTATACTGATCACTTCAAGAGCCTAGCACAGTGTGTAAGGAGCTCCAGTGGCCTGGTTGTAAGGAATTGTACTGCCAACCCAAAAGCAAAGGGTTCAAATCCTCCAGCTGCTCCACAGGAGGAAGATCATCTCCTGTGTAATTTATTGCCACTGATAGCCCACTGGATGGTCAGCTTTGAGTCAGTTATAACCTGGCAGTACATAACAGTAACAAGTAGAGTGCCTGAAATTTGGTAGAGTGGACCCAGGCGTTTTCCTTTTCCAAACAGTTATATCTGTGTTTCCTCTTGAACTAGGCACAGCAATCATCTCTTGTTAATGATGACATTAATGTCATAACAGAATTATTGGCTAAGAAAACAAGAACCTCCTTACTGTGTGTCCTGATGAGTGGCTCCAGAGGGCCCTCAGCTGGTCCTGTAGGAAGAGCTCCACCTCAATGGGATGTATGAGGAAAACATTCCCACAACTAACTGGAGGAAGAAGAGCTGACACCACTGCCTCCCGCAGGAACAAAAGGAATAGACAGAAGGAATATTTGTGATTTCAAAACAAGTCTACAAAAATGTCCCATGCTCCACCTGGCCAAGTACCAAGACCAGTTGAGGGACTCCATTTTGTAACCAATACGTCATTTTAAAATGTATACACCTCTAGAGCAGTAAACTGAAAGTGGTGGGGGAAGGGGGAAAAGAGCCCCCACCAAAACATCAGCCAATCCTGTATCGCCCTGTTTTCGTGGGCTTTCCCCTTTAAATAGGCAGGACAGCCCAGAATCGAAGCCGTGGCCATTTTCCCTGCTGTATGGGCATGGTTTAGAGCGCAGCCCGGATTCGAATCTGAAATAAATTCCCTCTTGCCCTTGCATCGGTGTCGGCTCCTTGGTGACTTGGGGGGAACTGGATTTGGGGCATAACATCTGGGGGTCGTACGGGATCCCCCCCACGACCCCAAGGACCCTTAACCGGAGGGATGAACTGCTGGCCAGACAGGTGAGTGTGTCTATCTGTGTTTTTGTTCTGTACCAAACTGTTCGTGTTGTTTTCTGAATTTGGAGCAGTGAAACGTGGCTAAGGCGGACACGCTGGGGGGCCACCACTGTGGTGGGCTCTGAAGACGTTCTGAGCCCTATATCTGAGTGCTTGGGTGAGAGTAAAGAACCTCACGCCAGGCTTCTGTCCGAAGAGGCAGTTGAGGTTTTTCCAAGACACTGTTCTTCACCAGTTTCAGCTTTTGAGCCTTGCTTATAGAGGAAGGCTGGAAGACTTGTCTGTTTTGCTAGGACCTTGTTATTTGTCTGTCTGTGTCTTTGTCTTTACTTACTGTTGATGGACGTAATGGGACAGACTACTTCCACCCCCCTAGACCTGGTACTTGGACATTTTAAGGATGCTAGAGAGCGAGCCCATAATCTATCGGTAGAGGTTCGCAAAGGGAAACTAACCACTTTCTGCAGCACGGAATGGCCGGCCTTTGATGTAGGATGGCCGCCGGAAGGGACTTTCAACCTTCCAACCATCACCGCCGTGGAGAAAGTTGTCTTCCAGCCACAGGGTGGACACCCTGATCAGGTCCCTTACATCACTGTCTGGAAGGATTGACCCTCATGGCGACCACAACAGAAAAACTCTGGTCGAAAAAGAATCTGAAGCCCTCTGTGCCTCTTTACCCTATCCTACAGGGAGGGGCTGAGGAAAACGTTATCTTCCCTCCTCCTTACCCACCACCACCCCAGGTCCCGGGGCCTGGGCTGCTGGGGCCTGAGCTGGGGCTTGGGCTGCCGGGGCCTGGGCTGCCAGGGCCTCAGCCAGAGCCTGGATCAGTGGCACCCAAGCCACCATCCAGGCCCCCGGCTCCATCGGTATTGGCTACTGGCCCTGCATAAAATACTAGAGGAGCCCTTCAAAGAGGCCCCCCACCCGAAACAGACTCTACAGTCCTTCCTTTATGGGCTGCAGGGCCTGTAGAGGCAAATGGAGACCAGCTGTATCATTATTGGCCTTTTGCCACTAGTGATCTATACAACTGGAAATCTCAAAATGCTCCTTTCTCCGACAATCCTAAAGAGCTGATTAACCTTCTTGAGACTGTTCTGTTTACCCACCAGCCTACCTGGGATGATCGCCAGCAACTGCTACAAGTACTGTTCAGAACTGAAGAAAGAGAAAGAATCATTCTGGAGGCTCGGAAATTGATTCCGGGCCCCACAGGTGTCCCAACTACAATTCAAACAGCTATTGACCTTGCCTTCCCCCTCACCCAACCCGGGTGCGACTACAACACAGCAGAAGGTAAGGAGAGACTCCGGTCTACCGCCAGGCTCTATTGGCAGGTCTCCGAGCGGCTGCTAGATGGCCCACTAATTTGGCTAAAGTTTATGATTTAAGACAGGGACGTGATGAAAGTCCAGCCGCTTTTCTAGAGCGCATAATGGATGCCTTTCACCAATACACTCCCTTTGATCCTGAAAAACCTGAAAATCTGGGAACGGTGGCATTGGCATTCATAAATCAGGCAGCTCCGGACATAAAGAAAAAGTTGCAGAGAGTCGAAAGGTTAGGAGAAAAGGAACTCAGAGATTTTGTAGAGCTAGCAGAGAAAGTTTATAACAATAGAGAAACGGCTGAAGGCAAGCAGATACAAGCTGAAAAGAGGCAGACCAGGGACCTGGCTCGGGTCCTCTTAGCGGCCACTGCAGAACCAGGAGAACGCAGGAGACAGCTGCAGCAACTTGCCTCGGGAGATGACAAGCTGGAGCGCAGAGGTAGGCTGCCCCTGAACAAAAATCAATGTGCATATTGCAAAGAAGAAGGCCATTGGGTATGCAATTGTCCTAAGAAAAAGCCTAGAGCTAAAATCCTGATTGAAGAAGATGATTAGGGGGGACGGGGTTCAGTTCCCCTCCCCAAACCCAGGGTAACCCTAAAAGTGGAGGGGAAGCCTACCCAGTTCCTGGTGGACACAGGAGCACAACATTCTGTTCTCCTACGTGCTGGAGGGCCCATTTCCAACAAAATGTCACAGGTACAAGGAGCCACGGGCACTAAACAATACCCCTGGACCACCCAGAGAACTGTAGACCTTGGAGTGGGCCGAGTATCCCATTCCTTTATGGTCATCCCTGAATGCCCATACCCCCTACTGGGCAGAGACTTACTTACTAAGATGGGAGCACAAATCAGCTTTCGACCAGGAGGTGAAACCATAGTAAAAGATAGAATGGGATGCCCCATTCATGTTCTAACCCTCAACCTAGAGGATGAATATAGACTGTACCAACAACCTACTACCTCATCCGATGATATGACTATCTGGCTCCGAGACTTTCCCCAGGCCTGGGCAGAAACGGGAGGAATGGGGCTAGCGCGGCACCGAGCCCCAATATTTGTAGAAACTAAGCCAGGCATCAATTCTGTAAAGGTTCGCCAGTACCCCATGTCTTGCGAAGCTCACGAGGGCATTATCCCACACATTGGATGCCTGCTAGACTTGGAGATATTGAGCCCTTGCCAGTCCACCTGGAACACACCCCTATTGCCCATGAAAAAACCCAATTCTAATGACTATAGGCTGGTACAGGACTTGAGGGAAGTCAACAGGCAAGTGATTGACATTCACTCAACTGTGCCCAACCCGTATACTCTCTTAAGCTCCTTGTCACCTGATCAGCGCTGGTATACCGTACTGGACTTAAAAGATGCTTTCTTCAGTCTGCCCCTGGCCCCTCACAGTCAAGAGTTATTTGCCTTTGAGTGGTCGGATCCTGAAAAAGGAATTCATGGGCAGCTAGCCTGGACTCGTCTCCCCCAAGGGTTCAAGAACTCCCCAACCCTCTTTGACGAGGCCCT